AAGCGCGCGGTAGGGCGGCTTCTCTCGGGATGGTCTAGGTCTAGGGGCGGGTGTCTCTGACTTTCTGGCTTCGGCCTTTCTTTGGGAAACGGTTGAGGTTTCTCAGGGTCTTTGTTTTCCCTTCATCTCTTTAGAAATTGAGATGAGGAGAAGGGAGGATACCCCCGTATCTCACAAAGACCTTTCTTGAGGCATTTTGCACTTGGCACAGCTTTTAGGCATTTACATTTATAAAATGCTTTTTTAAAAATAATTTTTTATCTTGAGGTAATTTGAGAACTTAAGACTTGCAAAATTCGTACAAAAATTTTCATATACACTTCATCCAGATTTCCTGGGTGTTAACATCTTATTTAACAGAACAATCAGCAAAACCAGGACACCCACATCTATAGGCATTATTCATATCTGTTTGTCTCACCTATTGCCTTTTGGTGGTATAGGGTCCAAGGCAGGATTTAGTTGCATTTAGTTGTCCTGTGTCCTTGGAATGTTTATATTTTAAATATCAGATACCTCCTCCTTCCCCCTCTTGCCAAGATTCGGGCCTGGGAGCTCCAGGTCTTAAATCAATGTGCTTTTTCTTTGCTGGGTGCCTGGGCCAGTTGTGAATATCTACCTGGGCCTCTGGGCAGCTTTGGCACAGGTGGCCACCTCTGTTCCTCCTTCTAGTGCTGTAGCCATAAGGGCCTGAACTCCGGAGGCCTCTCTGATCAGACGTCCCATCTTGTCTCCTCCCACAATTATCCAGAGTTGTTGGCTTTACTTTTTTTTTTTTTTATGGAAAAGTTTTACTTTATTTTGTAAAAAGCAATGTTTTGAGTAAATTTACTTCACTCTTTCAAAGCAATGCAAATACAATGATAAGCATTTGAGTAAAAAGTACCATGCCTTATGAACTTATTTTTTAAAACACTGAAGGTATACTGCTCACTGGAAGTAGAAATATGTGATCCAATTACAAAACATAACACTTAAGAATAAACACACACAACTGAATAGTCATGAAAAAATAGAGAATTAATAAAAATATTCTGTTTAAAAATATTAAATTCAAGTTATATGGAAATTTTATGCATAAAAAATCATATGTATAATCAGAAGGACTCTTCAACGGTCTTTTCTGAAAAACAAATACTAACTTTAGTTAAAAAGTTAAACTTTTAACTTTTTTCAAAGTACTTGCAAAACTTCACTATTCAAATTAAAATAAGATATTTTAACAATTTATTCCAAAGGCATGTTGTATAGTTTTCCTTGTGGTACACATAAGTCAATCTGCTAACAGAAAAGAGTAAGAAAAGCCAATCTAGGAAAGAAAATAGTTTAATTGAGAGTCAAAGTATGATCTCAATGTAGTGTCTTTTTTTCCTCCCCATCATCTCTATTCATGTTCGAGAGGGAGAGTAACTTGTAGGCAGCTCACCTTGATCTACGTTTTCTCTCTTGGCTGTGACACAGTAGAGGGGAAAGCACTAATTCACCCTCTCCAGTTCACCAGACAGGAATATCTAAGCCCAAACCTCATGCCTATCCCCAGGCTGCAATAAGTAACATTTATTGCAACAAAGTGGACTTCTCCAGTGATTATTTCATTGTACTATTTTGTCACCTTAATACAATTTAACCATTAAAAAAACAAAAACCACAAATTCAAACCGTCCATGGACAAATAATCATTTAAAAGTTGGGAAAATGAGAAGTAAATATAGCCCCAGCCACTTAAAGTCTCCCCTCCTTATGTTTATACTTAAAACCCTAAGTATAAAGACATAAGCTTTCCCCTCTACTACATCAAGAAACAGTGTCACTCATTTGTATCGAACGGGTTGGGAGCTTTGGAAGACAGATAGAAGTTTCAAGTCCACCACTCTTATCCATTAGCCTCATCTTTCCCGTTCTCAGTCTGCACACCCACAGTGCTAGAAGCTTCCGGGGCACGCGGCTGGGGACAGCAGGACTGCCTGGAAGCTGCCACCATGCACAGAGGAGTCCTCTTCAGCTTTATCACTCAGTGGGGTGTTGGCTTCTTGTCAGAGAGCAATGCCTTTGCTGGGGACAGGTGTGTGCCTCCATTCTCTGCTCTCGCAGTCCCATGGGGAGCCTGAGAACACCCAGCTGCCTCCATGTCCACAGGGGACGTGGCCTTTGGGGGCTCAGAGCGCTAAGCTGCCTTTCCGCCGCTGCCACCTTGAAACTGGTTTGTCACGGGTCGAGCCGAGACCTGGACTGCACTGGCTGGAGACACCCTGACTGAGGCTGAGTTCTTGACTTTAATTTGGGTACTTGTGGAAGGGCCCAGAAATCTGACTGGCTTTGGACCAGTCTTGCAGTTCACACCTTCTTCTTCCTCTTCACTGAGCTTTATCAGTCGCCTCTTTCAAATCGAAGCCATGTGACGCAGGCTTCCAAGTAAAGGCCGCTCTTCTAGAGTCCAGCACTCTATCAGCTCATGAGGCACCCGCCAGTAGCTGACACCTTTTCCTTCCCAAGCATCAAAGGCATCCATCATTTTCTTCAACTCTGCTACTGAATAATAGCTCCAAATGTACTGAACGTTATTTCCCGCCTCTCTTTTAAAAATGATTTTACTGTGAATTCTTCCTCCCAGCTGCTTATCAATAGCATCTGTTCCATCAGTTTTGGTGGCATATACACCAATAATTCTACTCTCGCAGCTTGCACCAGATGTGTTAAGATAGTGGAGAACCCAAACTGTTGGGTTTATTGCAAACTAAACCATATGAATCACAGAAGTCTGTTAAAGCCTTTTTAAGTTCTATATTTGACCTTAAAGAATATGTCTCCATTTCATTGGCCAAGTAGTCGGACAGGCTGTATGGATAAGGGATGCCAAAGTAATCGGCCTCTTCCTGTAGGGCCACACGAGTTTGCTCATCTGTAGGAATCTGAACTTCTCCATGAAGATAATCCAAAAGGTATTTAAATAGATGTCCATCACGGTCAATAACACGAGCGCCTGCGGCCCGCCCGGCCCTCAGCGCGGCCGCCCGATGCCACAGGGCCGACGCGGAAGTGAGCGGCTCCTCGGCTGCTGGGCAACTCGTAGCACAGGGCGGCCCCAGCGGCGCCCCCGTGCGGCCGGCCCGGCGGCGTCCGGCTTTACTTTTTTAATCTGTCTTAGGTTTGCCCATTTCTCTCCATGGCACCAGCATCAGCAGTAGCCTTTCTGTCCATGTCCCTGCACCTGCTTCGGTGCCTTCCCTCGCTTGTCTACACTGCAGTCAGAATAAGCTTGTTAAGATGCAAACCTCATTAAGTTATGCTTTGCTTATAATATTTTTTTGATTTCTCATTGTTCTTAGGATAAAGACAGGCCTCCTTAATGGGGCCTTCGAGGCAGTGCATGGTTGGTCCAGCCTCTTCTTGTGCCTTATCTCCCTTAAGTTCCCCACTCTGGCCTAACTGGCTTTGCTTTCCCCTCATGTGCTTTTCCTTTTGTCTGGGGTACTGTTCCTTGTTTACTCAGGGAATGCTTACTCTTCTTGTAGCCCTCCATCCAGTTATCCTTTCCTCAGGGAGGTATTTTTTGGCCTCCCTGACTGGGTCCAGGTTCCATTTTTGGGTCCCGATCTCTCTTACCACCTCTCCTTGGTGGCCCTGTCATTGCAGAAATTTTATACATATGTGCCTCGTGCCCAGTAGATACTTCAGACGTTTGCCAAAGGAAGGAAGAAGTGATAGGGCACTTACTATGGCTGCCCAATAGCCTGTGTCTACACATTGTTCCCTTGGGGAGTTTGCTTAGCCTGTAGGGCAGTGATAACCCACATCCCATTTCTCTGTCAGTTCTCTCAGGTGGGGCAAGAAGGATGGAGGAGCCACATGGGAGAGGATGGAGGGCCTGAGGAGCACAGTCTGAGGACTGCTGAAAGGGAGAATGGATTTCTGCTGAGCGTCGTGCCTGGTTATCCATCTCTGACCTGGCTGAGTTCGCTGTATTAGACCCTCCCCTGACAGACATTCCCATGCATGGTTTCAGAGAATCTTTTAGGTATAAATTTTGGCTAGGGTCAATCGTATATTAAAAGTTTCTAGTTCTTGTTAAAATAGCTGAAGCTAAAAAGTGAAGACCTGCTGCAGGTTGAGGTGGATGAAGTACCCTGGAATGTGTCTGTTTGCTCAGTGGCATGAGTAGTTTGGCTTAGCAGGTATTTATTGAGTGAGTGTCTCCTGTATGCCGGGAGCCATGTTGGCTTATGGGAATACGAAGGTGCTGTTGGCTTGAAGATGGGTCATTTCAGTCTATGTTGTGAAAGCTGAGATAGAGGAAGCTGTAATTGGAAGCTCGCTAGATGGAGAATGACATTGCAGGGGATGGGATGGCCTGAGCTGAGGTGGGACCGGGCAAGGCTGGGAACCAGGCTGTGAGTGGGCCTTGATTTTATTTCAGAGCGTAATTGTTTTGTGACCCTGGCAGGTTCTCTGCACGCCGTCAGGACAGTCTGGTGCCTGAATAACCAGTCGGAGGCTGTCAGTCTGGATCTTGGCAAGTGGATGGGACCATCCTAAGGCACAGAAGAGGAAACGGTGATGAGCTGCTGAGAGGTAGAGCAACTGTGAAGTGGTAACACAGGTCAGACTCCCTGACCCAAACCTGGCTGGACATGGGGAAGAAGTCAGAATGTCTGAATTTTATCAGAGTCATTCTGAAGCACCCCTTAATCAAACATAGAATTTCTACAGCAAAATGTATGGATATCTGTAGTAAGTATTAATGGAATTAGAGATTATAGAGAGCCTTAGATCAGCTCAGTTATTGCTGCCAAAGAGTTTGTTGCAAAGTTTTGAAAAAAAAAAGTTCCATTTTCCAAGCATTTTTGGCTTTTGGGATTGTGAGTGAGGGGTTGTGGATTTAAAATGATAGCTAACACTTGTGAAGTCAGGCTTATTGTGTGTGCTTTACACATATTGACTCTCATTGTTTTCACAAACTTATGAGGGTAGGTACCATGATAATCCCATTTTACTGGTAAGGAGACCAGCACAGAGAAGGTGAGTGACTTGCTAAAGTCACACAGCTTGTCACTGGTGGCTCTATATTCCACATTTTTACTGGGCTACTGACTTGTGAATGGGGTTTGGGGAGGTTGAGGGACCAAGGTCTTTCTCCCACACCTCACACCCCTGGCGTATGCCTGCAGCAAGCCTGTGTTAGTGCCAAGGAAGATCAGAACAGAAGGAAGGCTGGAACCCCATGGATGCCATGGTCACATACCTGGATTCACTGAGGGAACTTGTGGAGACTCATGGCTATGATTCCTGGAGCTTTCAGTCTGGTCAGGTGATGAGCTTTTCTCACAAGGCACAGAGGAAGTGTGACATCAAGCTGACCAGAGGTAGTGGTCGGAGACCCGTTGTGAAGAAGTTGGGATATGGACTGGCTGGACTTTGAGGAAATTCAGGTAAATGATTTTATAAGGATTCCATGAGGAGTTTCTTCATAAAGGTACAGATTGTTGAGTGGGGAGATGACTGTTCTAATTTTCTTCCAGCTGTGCAAGATATGTGTGCTCTGGAATACCACAGATGAATGTCTTTTGCCTGTGACTCCTTCATCACTGCAGAGCAGCAAATCTTCCCATCAGGCACTGACTGGGTCAGCTCAAGAATATTTGCTAAGGTGTTTCTTTGCAAGTACCCCTCTGCCTGCGTGTGTGTTATGTGAGTATGTAAAACATGCATACCAAAATATATAAAATATATACCAAAATATACATATCAAAATATATAAAACGCACAGGAACGGTTTAAATGATTATGAAGCAACTCTGAATATGATACTCAGTTTAAGAAATAGAACCTTCTTATCAAAACCTCAGGTGCCTCTGTATGTCTGCCACAATTGCATCGTTTTTTTTTTTTTATTTCAGAATTTTATGGGGGTACATACGTTTTGGTTACTTAGTTTGCTTTTGTACAGTTTGAGTCAAATTTTTAAGTGTTCCCTTCAGTCAGTTAGTGTGCATTGCACTCATTAAGTATGAATTTACCCATTCCCTCCTTCCCCCACCCCCCTACTTACTTCCCTTGAATGTTACTTCCATATGTGCACATAAGTGTTGATCAATTAGTTCCAATTTAGTATTGAGTAGATATGGTGTTTGTTTTTCCATTCTTGTGATACTTCACTAAGAAGAATGGCCTCCAGTTCCATCCAAGTTATTACAAAGATACCAGATCATCATCATTTTTTTTTTAATGGCTGAGTAGAACTCCATGGTATACATATACCACATTTTATTAATCCACTCATGTATTGATGGGCACTTGGGTTGATTCCACATCTTTGTGATTGTGAATTTTGCTGCTATAAACATTTGAGTGCACATATCTCTTTTATAGAATGTCTTTTTTTTTCCTTTGGGTAAATACCCAGTAGTAAGATTGCTGAATCAAATGATAGGTTTACTTTTAGTTCTTTGAGGTATCTCCCAACTACGTTCCATAGAGGTTGCACTAGTTTGCAGTCCCGCCGAGAGTGTGTAAGTGTACCTTTCTCTCTTCATCCTGGCCAGCATCTGTTGTTTTGGCACTTTTTGATATAAGCCATTCTTACTGGAGTTGGGTGGTATCTCATTGTAGTTTTGATTTGCATTTCCTTGATGATTAGAGATGTTGAGCATTTTTTTCATGTGTTTGTTGGCCATTAGTCAGTCTATCTTCTTTTGAAAAGTTTCTGCTCATGTCTTGCCCAATTTTTAATGGAGCTGTTTGATTTTTTTCTTGGTGATTTGCTTGAGTTTTTGTAGATTGTGGTTATCAGCCCTTTATCAGATGCATAGAATGCAAATATTTTCTCCCATTCTGTAGGTTGTCTGTTTGCTGTATTGATTGTGTCCTTCACTGTGAAGAAGCTTTTTAATTGGATCAGGTCCCATTTATTTATCTTTGTTGTTGCTGTGATTGTTTTTGGGGTCTTCTTCATATATTCTTTGCCTATGCCGATATCCGTAAGAGTTTTTCCAACATTTTTTTCTAGAATTCTTATAGTTTCCTGCCTTAGGTTTAAGTCTTTTATCCACTGTGAATTAATTTCACAATTGTATCTTTTTTCTTCAGAGGTAACTACTATCCTGAAGTTCCTCTTAATCATTTCCTTGATTTTCTTTTTAGTTTTACTACGTATATGTGTGTATCTTCAGATAATATATTTTTAGTTTTGCTTACCTTTTTGGCCCTTATCAAATGAACTCATAAAGGAAGTTTTCTGTTTTTTTGCACAATGCATTTTTGAGATTCATTCATGGCAGCTGTGGCTGAAGTTCTTCATGCACTTTTTCTGTTGTATTCCATTACATCCATTTTATTGATGGCCATTTGGGCTGTCTTTAGCTTTCTGCTACTTATAAGTAAACACGGTTGCAGTGAGCATTTTTGTCAGGGTCTCCTGGTGCACAGGTACAGTAATTCCTCTAGGGCAGTGGTTCTTAAGAGAGGTGAGGGGGAGGAGATGGAGATGGGAGGAAGGGAGACACTTTTGGTTGTCATAACTGAGAGGTAGGGTGCTACTGGCATCTAGTGTGTAGAGATCAGACATGCTGCTAAGCATCCTGAAATGCACAGGACAGCCTCATATCCCTACAAACCTCCCCTCCCTGCTGTCCCACACCCCAAATGCCGCTGCTGAGGTTGAGAACTCCTGGTTTAGGGTAAGTACTTGGAATGGGTTGCTGGGTGATTGGGTTTGTGCATGTTCAACTTTAGAAGATAATTGCCGCTATAATATTTACACTCCTTTTATATGTGGCCTCTTGCATTACTCATTCTCTGTTCCAACACTTGATGATACCTGCATCTAAAATTTTTGCCAACTTGGTGTATGCGAAATTATACCTTACTGTGGTTTAATTTTCATTTCTTGAATAATAATGAGATTGAACATATTTTCATGTTTGCTGCCATTTTCCTATTGTGTTATTAATATTTGCCTTTCTCTTAATGGTTCCTGGGATTTTATTTTATCTTTTACATCCTAGATTTTTTACATATCCTAGATACAAATCCTTTATGTTTGTTATAGATAATATCTCTTGTTTTGACTTTTTTCTGATAAACAGAAAAGTTCTTTATTTAAATGTGGTATCAGTCATTTTCTTCATGGTTAATGCTTTTTTGTATCTTGTTTAAAATATCCTTCTTTACCTTGAGTTTATAAAGATATTCTTGCATATTATCTTCTAAAAGATTTGTGATTTGGTCTTTTACATTATGCTTTTCATCTACCTAGAATTAATTTTTCTGCATGTTTTGAAGTAAGGGTCCAATTTATTTTTCTATGGATAACCAGTTGTTCCAAGACCATTTGTTACTTGTTCAACTCATCTTTGGTGATACAATGTCCACTTTGTCATAAATCCAAGTGTCTATGCATCTTTGGTTTATTTCTAGGCTTTCTCTTATGTCTGTCTAATTTGTCTATTTGCCTATGTCCACACCAGTACTGTTCTGTCTTAATTACTTCCACTTTAGCATAATGTCTCTGTGCCAGTAAGGACAGATCCCCCTCCCTGTTCTTTCCTTCAGGGGTGTCATAGCTGTTCTTGGTCCCTGGTGCTTTCATATCATAGAATCACCTTGTCAAATTCTACACATGAAAAACAGCGAAAACCATTCACTGAGATTACATTGAACCTATATATCATTTTGGAGAGTATTAACATGTTTGTGTGTGTCTTTGTGCAAACTTGGTGTGTCTCTCAGTTTATTTAGGATAGATCAGAATATCAATTCTGCTGTTCAAGTCAGTAATTTTGTTGGTTTGATCATCAGTAATTGAGAGGGGTTTGAAATCTCTGTTATGATCGATTTCTTATTTTTCCCTTAATTTCTGTTAATTCTATTTTCTGTTAATTTTTACTCTATGTATTTTGTATATTGCACACAAGTTTATACTGTATTTTTCTGATTAGTCAAACTTTTTCTCTTGTATTGTAAAGCGATCTTTTTTTTTCTGATAATGCTTCTGTTTTTGTTTTATTTTACTTTATTTTAAAATTTTTACTTAAGGTAAAAAAACTCATACAATTTATCATCTTAACCATTTAAGTGTACAATTCAGTAGTGTTAAGTATATTCACATTATCATGCAGCCAATCTCCAGAACTTTTTATTTTCCTAAGAGACAGGGTTTCACTCTGTCACCCAGACTAGAGTGTGGTGGCCCTATCATAGATCATAGCTCACTGCAGCCTCAAACTCCTGGGGGACTCAGGCGATCCTCCTGTCTCAGCCTTCTGAGTAGCTGGGATTATAGGCATATGTGCTACAATGCCTGGCTAATTTTCTAAAATATTTTTAGAGATGAGGTTTTGCTGTGTTGCCCAGGCTGGTCTTGAACTCCTGACCTTAAGGGATCCTTCTGTCTCAGCCTCCCAAATCACTGGGATTACAGGCTTGCACCACCATGCCCAGCTACTCTCCAGAACTTTTTGATCTTGTGAAACTGCAGCTATACCCATTAAACATCAACTCCTCATTTCCTCCTCCTCCCAGCTTCTGTTAACCAGCATTCTACTTTTTACTTCTATGAATTTGGTTACTTTACCTCTTATACATGGAATCATGCAATGTTTTATTATTTTTTTTAGTTGGCTTATTTCATTAATAGAATGTTCTCAAGATTTATCTGTGTTGTAGCATGTGACAGGATTTCCTTCCTTCTTTAGTCTGAGTAATATTCCATTGTGTCTATTGATTCCATTCATCCATCGTTGACACTTGAGTTGCTTCTGCCTCCTGGTTATTGTGAATAGTGCTGCCTCGAAAATGGGTGGACAGATCTTTGAGTTACTGCTTTCACTTCTCTTGGTTATATGCCCAGAAGTGGGATTGCTGATTTGTATATGATAATTTTATTTTTAATTTTTTGAGGAGTTGCCATACCTTTTTCCATAGTGGATGGACCATTTTATAATCTTGTCAACAGTGCCCAAGGGTTTCAGTTTCTCTACATCCTCACTGACATTTGCCATTTTCTGGTTTTTTTTTTTTTTTTTGGATAGTGGCCATCCTAATGGGTATAATGCACTATCTCATAGTTTCTATTTGTATTTCCTGAATGATTAGTGATGTTGAGCATCTTTTCACATGCTTCTTGATCATTTGTTTATCTTCTTTGGAGAAGTGACTATTCAGATCCTTTGCCTGTATTAAAGTGAGTTATTTTTTGTCGTTAAGTTGTAGGAGTACTTTATAGATTTGGGATATTAACCCCTTATTTGTAAATATATGATTTACAAATATTTTCTCCTATTTCGTAGGTTGTCTTTTTTCTCTATTATTGTGTCCTTTGATGCAGGAAAGTTTTTAAATTTGGTGTAGCCTAATTTGTCTATTTTTGCTTTTGTTGCCTGTGCTTTTAGTGTCAACAGGCAAGAAATCTTTGCCAAATCTAACGCCATGGAGCTTTTCTCCCATGTTTTCTTCTAAGAGTTTTATAGTTTTATCTGTCACATACAGGTCTTTGATCCATTTTGAATTATTATTATTATTATTTTTTGAGATAGGATCTCACCCTGACACCAAGGCTGGAGTGCAGTGGCAATGATCATAATCACTGTAACTTTGAACTCCTGTCCCATCTTCCACCCCACGTCCCATCTGTGGAAATATTATCTTCCATGAAACTGGTCCCTGGAGCCAAAAACGTTGGGGACTGCTGA